TCCAAAAAGGAATTCCTCGGATCAAAGTCAATTCAATGGAATACCAGGACATTCCGGTCGATTCCTTTGATTCGTAGAGTATCCGTCCGTCTTCGCCTTTGACAACTTTCCGCTGGCTTTCTTATGCCACTTGCTTTATTATTATTTTCCCTCATCTTTTTTCCTGTTTTTCTTTTTCTTTTTCTTTTTTTTTTTTGTGTGTGTTAATAATATTCAAATGTAATGCAAACAATGTGCCAGAAAGTCGACGCAAAGTTGTCGCTTCACTGGGGTCGGGGTCGGGGTCGGGGTCGTTGCCACGCCCCCTTTTTCCGTTCGACATAGCTCATAGTTTTCACTCAACTGTTTGCATTAATTTGATTCCTTTTTGGCCGGCTGCTGCTGCTGCTGCTGCTGCTTTTGCTGCTCCTACGCTTTTGTGGCTCGTTTTGTATTGTAATATCCGGCCGCTTTGGCCGCGCTTCCTGGCCAAAAGGAGGCGTTCGTTTTTTATTCAGCGCAGCTTGGCCAACAAAAGTCGACGGACGACGGTCGACGGTCGACGGTCGACGCTCTGCGGCTGTGCGATTTCTGCCAACTTTATGCAGCGCTTTGTTTGCATTTTCCAACTCATTAAGAGTAATTCGCTTTGCTCTTCGTTATGTATTTTTCCCCACCGCTTTTTCCACCCCCTCGTACCACCCCTTCCATTTTTCGTTTTTTATTCTTTTTATATTTTCTCCTCATTTTTTATTTCAATTTGCATTGCGTTTTTGAGCGGCGGTGAAGGTGCTCGAGTGGAAATTAAACACGCCCACTCACCTAGACACCACCCATCCAACCATCCAACCACTTGACCACCACCAGCAGCTTGAAGTTCCGAGCTCGAAAGGCCTGCAGCTCCGACTTGCGACTGGCCCAAATATATTTATGGGCGTCGGCGGGCCTAAATAATGGCCAGAAGTGAGAAGCGAAGAGGATGGCCTGAACGAACGCCAGTTAATTAATCATCGCATGAAAAATCACTGTATCAGTTGGTCAGCAACAGAATTGGTAAGTGAATGTGGGATAGGGGTTCTAGATGTGGATGTGGATGTGGATGTGGATGTGGATATGGTGTGTGTAACTGAATGCGAAACTAAACCTGAACCGCAAACGTGAAACTGCGAGTTGGGAAGAGCCTAAGCGAGCCCATAAATAAAGTGACACACATTCCGGAACGACGAGAGGGGTGAAAATTACGCACGAGATTGTTGAACAAGCCAACAAACAAGAACAGCGACGACGACGACGACAGGACAGCAATGTGGTCAAAACAGAACTAAAAAAAAAAAAATATGAAAAAAAACAGGGGAAAAAAGGAGGGGTTGGGGGAAAAAAAACGAAGCGGGAATGTGACATGAACAACAAGGCGACTGGCGGCTGCCCACTAAGTATGCGCAAGTAAGCGATAGCCTATGAAAAGTGGCAGACGGAAAGGGGGGAAGATATGGGGAGGGGGGTACACAGTCCGGATAAAAACCGGAACAGGCACACAGATATCGCAACCGGAGAAAGCACTCAGCACAGTGGCAAAATCCACTCGAAATTCCCATATACTCGTATATAAACTCAATTCCTTAAGAAAAGTGTAACTCGCAAATAATTAAATGATTCCAGCAATCGTTATTACAACTCACATGTTGTGCAAGCTCAATTGCTCGTTAAATCAAATCACTTAAAATTTCATGGCACATTACGAAAGAAAAAATATTATGAAATATTTCCACAGATGGCCAGCCAGAAAAGAAATTGGAGGAGACTGGCATAAAAAGTGATTAAATAAAACTCGTTGCGTTCGGACATTTCAGTGCTAAATACGTATCAAATAAATGCGCACATTTCTGGTCAGCCATTTATTGACAGAAAAAATAATAATTTTTTAAGAGTGCCATTTGTAAATGTTATTTTTGTGTACCTAACGAATAAAGCGAATGCAAATATACATTTTAAAAAGGGTGTGGTGATATATGAGAGTTCTGAATTGGATTTAAGTTGCTCAATGTTGAAGCTTAAGGTTTTTGTTTTTTCTTTAAGAACTGCTATTTAAGAATTATATCTTATTTCAAATAATTCCAGTTTGTTTTAAAATGGAAAAAAATCTTTTGTTAATACTGAATTTCTTAATATCATTAAAAATGATTACAGAATAGGAAGAACATGACTTTAAATCGATTTGTTGTGTAGAGCAGCAATACTTATGCAACATAATTATTACACTTTTCTGGTTAAAATCCTCTTAAAAAATCTGTGAAATTTGTTTTAAAAAAATGGAAGAAAAATGCCTTAGTAAGCTCCACTGTGCCAACGCCAGCAGCGAAAAGGACACCGAGAGCCGACTGGCCCCGCAAAGCATGCAACAATTTGTGGCACTTGAAACGCAAGTTGCCTCCAACGCTTGACGGCTGACGGAAGTCCGTTAGCGTGGCCAAAAACTAATGCTAATGTATGTGTGAGCAAGTGTGTAAGTCCTTTGGCGCCCTCTCTTTCCCTCATTCCCTCTCTTCTTTCCCCCCCTCAATCGCTGTCTCCTTTCTCCGAAGCAAATACGAATATCCTTGTTGGACGACTAGAAAGCCCACAGAACGTTGGAATAAAATAAATAATCATAAAATAGAAATAAAATGACAAATTATTTCCGTTTCCGTTGAGCGAACTTCGAGGCGTGTTTCGCTTCGGTTGACGGTGATGTGGGCGTGGCAAGTGGGCTGTTCCACTATTGGACTGTTGGACTGTTGGACTGTTGGGTTGTTGGCATTCAGCTGCCAGTTGTTAGACGGAGTTTTCCTGGCTTGAATTCCTGGCTTGATTCCTGGCTGTTCGTACATGCCAGGAAAAGAGTGTAACGAACGCGCTTAGAAAACGTGAGCAAGGGAAAGAAGAGGAGCTCTAGAAACTTGGCTAATATATGCAGTTGCCAGTTTCCCAGTTTGCCAGTTTCTCAGTTTCTCAGTTTCTCAGTTTCTCAGTTTCCCAGTTTCCCAGTTGGTAGTAATGTTCACCCACGCAGGACCTGTGAGTCCACAGATGATCCTGGCAGGCAGCTTGTGTGACAGGAACAGCAGTTGAGACAAAAAAAAAAAGCGAAAACCAGCAGCACCGAGTGCATAATGTACTTAATGCGCTCCTGGTTTTCCTTTGCCGTCGGCATAAGTAATTGGCCTTTCGGTTCTCCCTTAACCACTCGTTTTGTTAAGACGAACATGGGGCGTATACGTGATATCCATACGCACTGTGTTAGCAGGAGTTGTTTTTTGTTTTTTGTTGTAACCTCAGAACTCAGAGCTCAGGTTAGGCCCTTTTGAATCGATAAACGAACATGTTCGAGGCCCATTGCCAGGTCATTCCTCACAATGCTTAAATTAAATATTTACACACGCCGCAAATAGAGTTTTCATGTATGTAAATGTGTGCTTATGCCAGTTCATAATTAATAATTATTTATTACTTTCACAAACAAAAACTGTGGAAAAGGGCAATGCGGAAGTACGAAGGGCTTGATGAAATCGGTATACTCTATATTTTAATTAATTCATGAAATTGAATAATAATGAAACTAATTGATTCAGAATTATTTATTGTAAACAGAAACTTTTTGCTTGCAGTCTTTCAAACATTTTAGTTAGGTATTTAAACTTTTCCAAGATTGTGTTTTATTTTTTTTTTATTTTACAAACGCAAGGAGCAAATCAAGCAGACCAATTTCACCGCAAAGAGCAGACCGTGAGCTACGAAATTATGACCGCAATTTGGGAAATGAAATGCATAAAGCAAAATAAGCAAATGGCACGCAAAGTGACCCGAGGCGGCGTCAAAGGCTCTAATTGGCCGCACAAAGCCAACGACAGGGTCACTTGAAGGATGAGGTCGAGGAGAGGGGCGGGGCGGTGAGTAGTGAGTGGCTCCCGATTCTGGGAAGGGATCCTCGAGGGGTCACGACGATTCCGGGGTGTGATTCGTGGCACGTGGAATGTACTGGGAATAGGAACCCTTCTACGTCTCAATTTGTGGTTTCTATACTTTCTTGAATCTTAGATTAGGTGGGTTTTATAACTGTTATATTTATTAACTAAGTATAAGTTAACGTTTTTATATACACTAATAACAATGTAACTATTTTCCCTGTTTAAGCATTAATAACAATAATGCAATATAGAAGTAGCACAGCAATGAATATCCAAATGTTTTTATATGTAAACAATCTTTGTTTCTATCAATTCAATCCTTTTTTAATTAATATAAATCAGTTTAAAACACAATTTAAGTCCTTAAGCCTTGTATGCCTTCGCTCAGGTGAAGATATCACCCCCCGAATGAGATATGTATCGCATGTGAGCATCGGACTATGTGGGTTTCACAAAAGTTTCGGTGAGCGTGTGGCGGCGACCCCTATGGCTTTCCGAAATAACCACCCCTTTGCGTGGGGAGCAGGGAGTGGAAGGTGGGGTAAAATCACTAAAGTGAAATGAGTGGGTGGGGGGCGGGTTCAAGGACCAAAGCCCCGCAGGTCGAAAGAGGCCGCCTGCCCGAATGCGAATCGCATTGAACTTGTTTCGAGATACGCCCCCGAATGGAGTGGAGTAGAGTGTACATAGCCTCGTTCCGTATTTATATAATATATCAACGACTCATCATTGTGATGGAGGGCGACTGTCAGCGGACCGCGCCCCGCGTCGAATGTGTATTAAGTTGCCGCCGCCGCCCCTCCTGGGAACTTGCAACTTGGCAGTGGCAACTGGGAGCAGGCAGTCAACTTGGACCGAGGCCACTCCCGGCGGCCTCTTTCGGAAAACGCTTCCCAAGAGAAAGAGTCTCTTCCCACGAAAAAAAAGCAAAAAAAATAAATACAACCACCCACTCTGCGCCCATTTGGAATCTCAAAAATGGCGTGCCGAGCAAAAATTAAGCAAATAAACTTGTCAACACATTCAACTTCATTATCGAGCCGCGGCGACCGCTCCCCAAAATGTTTTCAAACTTACCCGTCTGCCGAGCTCTTGTGGTTTTCACTTTTTCCGCTCCTCGATTTTTGGGCTCGGCGGCAGTCGCCTTCTCCTTCTGCTTTTGCGGCCTGGAAAAAAAAAAAAAACGGAAAAATGAAATAATGTCCTGGCTCAAGTTGAGAGATCCCCGAAAACGGCCGCCCAGGAATATTCATATGCGAATATTTTGTGGTTTAATTTAATTGCCTGCGGCCGAGACTTGGGAAACGAGTCAAGGGTTCACTCACTTCATCTCCGACTTGCTTGGTATCGTTTCCCCAAAAAAAGATTCGGATTCACAATCACGCGCCCAGCTTAACAGCCGCCGGCGAGAGACAACAACACTTGGAAAATCCCTGGGAAAATCCTATAAACTTTTCCGAGCACGAGCAATACTCTTTTGCACTTGCTCAACATGACATTGAAATATCTCGTCTTCTTTAACATATATCTACATATTAAGCGTGTTTATCATAAAACATTTTGTATTATTCATAAAAAGCAGGCAGCATAACAAAAATATCTACAAAATATTCAGTCGGAATAATTTACTTTGCTTTAAAAACAAGATAAGGAGCAGACTTTCATAAAATTACCCCACAATCTCAATAAGGTGTGCAACTTTTGAAAAGGATTAAAGTTGGTAAAGTTAAGGGCTCTAGAGGTGTAATGTTGGGTTAGCAATTTTAGAAATTATTATTAGCATTATTTATATTGTAGGTATGCAACTTTTAAATCGGTGTGCTATGGATTATGTGGGCCTTGATTAAAACCATAAAAATATTATGCAACTGGATCGGTTGGCAGAAAGCTTAAAGATTGGCTCTCATTTTTGCCAGACTGGCTGGGGAGTGAGCAATTTTGCCATGGCTCGGGTGCCGAATTCAAATAAATCATGAAACTTTATAGTTTTACAAGCAGTTGGACACACAATGCCCAACATAATCAGGCGAAGCAACAGTGGGCATCAAATTTACAGCCCCCGGGCGGGGATCCAAACAATTTGCGCAAATATTGTTGTTTGCATATCGAACGAACCCTTCTCGCCATCGAGCATCGACCATCGGACCATCGCACCATCGCACCATCGAAGCATCGAAGCATCGACATTGGAGCACAATGAGCGGGGCGAGCAAACAAATTTATGACCATCATAACGACCCGGCGTGAATGGCTGGGGAATCGAGTCCGGCAAACAAGGGGCGCCGACAAAATGTCTATAGTGCTACATAATAATCATAATAATAAATAGCAATAAAAATGCTACAAAGGAAATTAAATTTCTGTATCCGCAAAAGAATTTCGAAAAGTGCACACAGGAAACGAAAGCGGATGGCGGATGGATGAGATGGAGAAGGGGAAGGCCAAGGCGGAGGATCAAGGGGGGAATGGAGAAGCAAGGAAGGAGAAGGAGGAGCAAGTTCGTCCGTTTTGCGGCACCTAAATTGCCCATAAGCTGTTTAACTGAGTTATTAGGACCTTCGGCGAGCCTCGAGTCCTGGAGTTTCGCGTCTTGCGTTTTGAGTCTTGAGTCTTGAGGCAAGAGTCTCCTCATCCGCATTGGCATCCGCATCCTGGGGGTCCCGACTGCTTGTTGCGAGGACATCGTCCTTGCTATCGAGTCCTGCTCGCCCACTCAGCGTGCCAGGATGGCTATATTAATGTTAATTAATGTTAAATGCCCGGGCGTTTCAAAATCATTTGCAATTTCGCCGCTGCCAAACCAACCAAGTGGGTCATCAGAACCCCCTCTAAGTTCACCATCTCCTCCTTCCCTCTTCCTTTGGATGCCTAGTGGTGTCCTGGACAGCAACAACCAACACCTACGCGTTCAATTGCCCATCAACATCATTAATAATTTGATAATTAGTCCGAGTTGTGAAGTTGACGCCTGTCAAAGTGGATGGGCACATGCATTACGTAGTAGTCGACCGCCTAACCGTCCAGCTTTTTGTTGGAAAGGTCAATCAGGAACTGCCCCTCAGTTCCTTTTCCCCCTCCCAATCCGAAACAAAGTCCACTTGTAACATATCCTTTGGAGGGACCTGAACGGTGAACAGTGGCAAACCAATTGAGTCGCATTTAACGGGCTGACAATGGCGCATATAAAGCGCTTTGTTCCACTCGGTCGGCGGTTGTGGGCGGTGGCCCTTCGACCGTTGCCCTCAACGAAGGGAAAGGGAAAAGGGGGCGTGGCCCTCTCTATATATCCACCCAGATATATATATCTATATATATGACGTGTGACAAATTTTTGCGGTTGGCAAATCCAACGAGGGCTCCGTCCGTTCATCCGTCCGTTTGTCCGTATGTCCGTTTGTCCGTATGTCCGTACGTCCGTATGTCCGTTTGTCCGCTTGTCCGTTCGTCCATCCGTTGTGAAGGTGGCAAATGTGTTGCTGCACACGTCTCCTCTCGTCTATGGCCGGAAAATTGTCCAACATATCCGGGAGCGTTGAGGTTGGCTGGCCATTGTGGCTGAATGTTAAGGGGTGTCCAGTCCCCCCTCGATCCCCCCATTCCACACTTCCCAAGCTTTCCCGTTTTCCCCCTCCTTCTTCCGTTTTACTTGCAGTTAAATAGGGCGGAAAAATAATTGAACCATTATCAGGCAGTCTGGCGCAACGGACACTCAATTTCTCTCTGTGTGTGTGTGTGTGTGTGTGTGTGTGTGTATTCTTGTAAGTATGTATATATGTATGTATTTATGTATGTTCATGACTTGCTGTGAATAAATTTCGAGCTTGTTGTTTTGCCTTGGTTTATTGTGCTTATTACAAAATATTTAACACCATCAGCGAAGCACAAGGCGTACTGCCACGCCCACTCTGTCATTGTCCGCCCACTTATTCGTCGTTGTCGTTGTCGTCCATCTTCTTCTTCTTCTCCTCGCTGGATGGCAGCAAACAGGCTGAAATTGTTGCCTCATTGTAAAAATTTATGTTAATATTTTAAATTTTTATGCTGCCATCCAGACGAACGAAGCGAAACTGAACGCCTCCCGCTTTCCCAACCGCTTTCCCTCCCGCCTTCCCCTCCCCTTTCCCGCAATTTTCGCCGCCTTTTGGCCCCAAGTTGTTTGTTGTTGGCCCGAGAAAGCCCCTTGTCGCTTGTAAAATGTAATGTAATTTCTACGCTGCCGGCTTTAGGCCACGGACGTTGGCAGGACACACACCAGCCAGGATAATAGCAGCAACTCCTGCCCAACCGAGAACCGGGAGCCGCTTAAAGAGCGGCCATATATATTTAACAAAAAAAAAAAAAAAAGAAAGAGGAGAAGCGAAAAAAAAAACAGCAGCCACAAACTGCAATGACAGTCAACGTTACTGGACACACGCATGTGTAGTGGGGTTTTATAAATATTTTACGCTCATATTTTATGCGCATTTTTCATACTGTCCACATTGCTGGGAGCAGCTTGAACGGACAGCGGGCAAACGGACAACGGACAACGGACAGCGGACAAACGGACGTTCGGCATCATTAATTAATCCCAAAACGTTGATCCTGATGGACCGCAGAAGCCCATGGCTCCCGCACACACCGGTTGACAGACTTTGGCTTTAAGTGCTGGAAATTATTAAAAAAAAAAAAAAAAGTGAAATAAGCGTAAAAAAAAAAAACCAGAAGAGAAAAGCGAGGAGAAATGAAATAAGCGGACACCAGATGTAAATGCTAAGGCTTTTGCATTGTGTTTTTAAACGGCACGTCCTTTCTACCGCCCATCATCGTATTGCGGCATGTTGTTGCGTTGAGCCTCATTAAGCGCACTTTGTCCCGTGTCCTGCGTTCAGTGTCCTGCCTCCCGCATTCCGCCTCCCGCCTCCCGCATCCCGTTTCCCACTTCCCATGTCCTGCGTCCCTCGGCCAACGTTCAGTGTCCTATGTCCTCTGTCCATTTAAGGGAAACTCCTCCGCTTCGGCGCGCATCCTTCGCTGATTCATTCCTTCTCGTTTGCCATAAATTATTTTTAAATGCATACTTATGTGGAATTTTGCCACGCGCTGCCGCGACAACTTTTCATAATTTTTATTTACATGATGCGGTTGTGGGCGGTTGTGGGCTACGGCAGCGGCTGAGGCTGAGGCTACGGAAAGGTCCTGCCAGCGCTAAAAGCCAGCAGGATGGGTTGGTCGCCGCCGAGTGGTGGGCCATTTTCAGTGGCGGTGTGTAACCGCATTAAAATGATTTGTAACGAGCGATGGCGGCCCGTGTCTGAAGCCCAATGCCTTTGCAGGCTGACAAAGAAAAAAACAAAAAACCAAATGAAATAAAAAAAAATACGCGGCCAGTGCTGCAAAAGTGGTCGCGCAACAGGACGTGCGCAACTGGGAGGGAAAGGATGAATGGAGGTCCTTGCAGCGGCATTTACCGCACGCATCACTTGCCATGGCGCCTGCTCCTGACTCCATGACATCCTACGATGTCCTCCGATGTCAGTCGCGACCCTCGAATGCCATTGCATTTCAGCCGGAGGTCATTCGGGAGGTCGCTCGATCAGGATGCGAGTTCAGAATTCCTTAAAGGATATTCAGCACCAGCAAAAAATAACCAAACACTTTAAAGTTTGAAAGGGAGTCCACATTTACCTTTGAGTAAACAAAATGTGAGTGGCTGCAACTCAAATTATTTCAGAGAAGGCAACCCAGTTGTGAATCGTTTCAAAGGTCAAATAAAAACGAATAGCAAATGTTTGTTTTATATCAAAGAAAACATATAGCTTTCGACAGGCAGTAACCCCAATCACCTCTTGTTCATCAAACAAATTTTCCATTTGGTTTAGGGATAAAAAAAAAAATAATTTTAAAGCAAATGTTTGCTTCTTCAAAGCGAAAATATTTTTCAAGGATATCACTTTCCGAAAATAATAACCAATAATACTTTTGATCCTTAAACACTGAATGAGGAATCACAATAAGTAAGAACTGCATTGAATATTAATTATTTCCATCACTTTATTTGACTGACACGAGTAAGCCAGTTTTAAAACTCAATTTGCAACTACATACAAGTACATCTTCGGAAAAGGCAATTTACTTTGCCTCAATTAAGAGGACCTAATCAAATCTAACTCAAGGATGCACTGCG